CCCCAAAACCCCAAAACCCCAAAACCCCTGAAAATAAAATATTGATAAAATCGATGAAAATTAATTCATTAGTAAGTTTGTTTTTTAAAAAATAAAATTAAATCCAGATAAAACTTAAACTTATAAATCACGATAATTAGAGTCTATTATCAAAAGTATTTTATTTAATAAAGAGTGAATTTAAACCCGAATAACTTAATAATAATTTGAAATAAGAGTTTTGATTTATTAGAAAATATCATAAATATGCTTGATTAAGTCACTAAGGACCGCGTAGAACCTTTGCTTACTTCTTATTCTGAAAATCAGTTATCAATCAAAGAATAAACACTTGTGTCAAAATCTTAGATTGATAATGTTGGTTATGATAAAACTTATTCAGGAGATTATTAATGGATTGGTTAGAAATTCAAAGAAATAGACTATAGAGTTGTGGAAAATAGATAGATACCTGTGAATATAAGCCTATAAAAAAATGGTTTCTAGTTACTTTAAATGGAGTATGCTAAAAAAAGAAATTAAGTTATAGTTCTCTACTAGAATGATTAAGTTAGTACTTAAAGAATAATAGAATTTCTTGATATAAATAAGAAATAAGTATTATAATCAATTGAGCTATTAGAATTGGATCCCAAGTAGAAGAACTCTTACTTTATACGTTATATACAATATAATGATAGTGAATACATTTTCTTCCTAGAAAATAAAACTTTATATCTGATTAAATATGATGATTTTGAATAAAGAAAAGACCTTTATTAGATGAAATTTCATTCTCAAAAAAGCCTCTATATCTTGGAAGCTACTATTTTAAATGAATTCAATATTTTATTAAAATGCTATAGAGATAACCAATAAGATATTTTAGTTTTCAAACATGATGAGAATTAAACAATGAGTTTTTAAAAAGTAAATTAGATTACATACGATTTAGATTTAGTTAATGACTAAGAAAATCTATAGATTTTAGGTAATACTTAAGAAATATTTGTTAAAGATAAAAATTAAAGCTTATATCAAATGGATTGCCAAAGAAAGTAATTAAGCATCTCATCAGCAATCTTGAAAAGCCATTTTTTAATTTATTTAGAAAGCAAAACTCTAATTATAAATTTAAAAACATTAAAACTTTAAAAAACATTAGAGAACAAATATTATGTTATTAGATTTGAAGATGAGTACGAATATCTTCTTAGCGAAAATCTTAATCTTTTCAAACTTGATGATAATTTCAATTTGATTAAAATAACTTAACTCTCGGACAACTTATCTTCTGATATATGCCAATATGTAACCTAAGCAAGTAAAATAATTCTAAATTACTATAATAATTCTACTAAGAAGTATGCAATCTAAGTTTTTGACTCTAGAAACTTTTAACTTGTCAATGAATTTGCTATGAATAACAAAAAGATTTTTATTGATACAAAATAGCAGAGATTCTACTTTTTACAAGAGGAAATATAGTATTACATTTAATGGAATACAAATTATTATGAGAGTCACAATATAATATAATTAAATCATAATGGGAAGCCATTTTCTGAAGAACTTTATTTAATTCCCTTAAATAACAAAACAATCTACTACTTAGATGAAAATTATCAAACAATAATTAAAGACATAGAAGCAAGAAAAATAAGAGAGATAGGTCAAGGATATCTATAGAATTGTTAAAATTATTTCATAGAAAATTAAGATTTCTTGAATGATGAAAAATTTGGATAAAAAATAGAAACCTTTGAATTATTAGAAGTTTTCGAAATCAAATCAGATGATGTTATGTTATGTTCCTCAGATGACTGATTTATTGTACTTAATGGCAATCGTTAAATAGAATTAAGGAATTTTATGCTAAAATAAGATATTATCCTAGAATTAGAATCAAATGCTGGTTTGATGTCCGATAGATATCATAAAAACAAATATGCATTTTGTATTGCAACTTAAAATAAAATAGTCTACTTTGATAAAATTGCACAGGAGTTTAAAGAACTAGAATTTAAAGATAATTTTCTATCAAGCAATCCTAAGGATGCGTTTATTCATGATGAATTAAGCATGCTAATTATAAGACATAAAGATGCTGTTGAGGTATTTAATCTTGAAACTATGACAAGAATTGAAGAAATCTCTATGATTGTTAAATAAGATACTAATCCATCAATTTTTGTTGATAAAAACTACATTCAAATAGATTTACATGATCAAAGGATAGTTTACTTCTTTTAGCATAGAAAATTGGATAGAATTATACAAATCAATTTTCCTGAAGGCTTGTAAATATATGACAGATATTAAATTTCTATAAATCAACCAGCCACTAACTTTCTTAGACGAAAAGATGCTTAACTTTCAGAACTGTATACAATGAAGTAGGATTCTTTTGAATCAATGTATACAGAATAGAACTTAAGTTAGCCACTTCATCTAGCGTTTTATTTCAACATAATTAATAAATCAATTATAGACCAAAGTTAGGTATAAATCTATATTTAAGGAGAGAAATATATGGTAGGATATTTTGATTTAGACCTAACTGATTAATTAATTTGCGATTACAGATCTATTAATAGCAAGAATAATGAGGAGATTCTAAATATATTGTCTGCTGATATAAGAAAGTATACCAGATTTATTGCTGGATTTGGTACATGCTTTAATATTTTTGAAAACAATCTGATTGCTTTAGAAACTATTGTCAAATAGCTCTCTTTGAAGGATGAGAAGACTCTACCTATACTTATTTGTCCCAATATGATTGGGAGATATTCACCTTTAGATTCATAAATTCGCAACAACCAGTAAAAGATAATTAACTTGATTTTATCCGTTATCCTAAAATATCAAGATCATCTTTTCTTTAACTAACTTATTGACAAGCATGTTTGTGAACTCATTAAACAAAATATTGATTTGCAGGATTACTTTGATAGTAGTTTGCCTATTTATCAAATCATTGATGTTGCTTTCCCAAGTCAACACTTTAATAGCGAGGAATCAATAGTAGGAATTGAATTGAAAAATCCCAAAGATGTACATGAGAAATATGACCAATTATTTGGAAAATCCTTTGATCAATAATTAGAAAAATCTGAGGATATTTAGGTCTCTATAGAATATGACCTAATTAATTTACCCCAAACTTTGTAAAACAATCCAAGAAATCTAATGAAGGTTCTTAGTGAATCGGATATACCAGAATACTTTGAAAACAAAGTTATTTAGACAATCATTAATTTCAAGTGGAATACTTATACAAAGTCATATTATGAGACAAGATTCTACATTTACCTAATTTTTATGGCTTCTTTAATCTTTGATATATTTTACACAACCTATACATCTCAAAAACCTTCTTCAGATCAAGATAATTCAGTGGAAAATACAACAGATCATGATATTTAGCCGAGCATATGGATTAAAATTTCTACAAAGATTATTTGCCTATTTGTATTACTTTTCTTTACTATCCATGAAATTAAGCAAATTAGAATACAAGGTTCGATGTACTTAAGTGATGGGTGGAATTTCTTTGATTTTTCACAAATTATATCATTCATAGCCTTTTGTATAATGGAATTTACAATTTAAAATCAAGATAATCTCATCTTGATAAAAATACTTGTAATTATTCTTTCATTCATGAAATTATTTTATTTTATGAGAATTTATGATGGCTTTAGCTTTTTGGTACAAATGATGGCTGGGGTTTTCAAAGATCTTAAGTACTTTATTAGCTTTTTTTTAATTATGATTCTTTAATTCGGCATGATTTTTTTGGTTCTATTCAAAGCTTAATCGATAGAGGAATATAATGGTGTTAATAAGATTGCTTACTTCTTGATGGCCTTCAGAATATCATCAGGTGATTTCTATCTTGATGACTATCAAAATCAAGGTGATATTATTGTCATTTTCTCTTGGATCTTATGGATAATTGCAGTGTTAACATTGAATATTGTTTTCATGAATTTTATCATAGCTGTGATATCAGAATCTTACGAAAGAGTAATGCAGAAACTAGTGGCTGAATCATTTAAGGTTAAAGCTCATATGATAGTTGAAAGAGAACAAATGTATTCAGACAATGAGCTGCTCATAAAGCAAGTATTCCCAAATTATATAGTTCTCAGAAGATAAGTAAACAATCAAAGCAATGAAGCTGGAGAATGGCAAGGCTTCATTAAAGACCTGAAACACACTATAAAAACAACTGTTACGAAATCTAAATCTGAAATAATGCAAAGTCTTCATTCTTAAAATTAGAAAAATACAGCTTAAATAGATAAAATTCCAAACTCTATTGAGGAAATGATCATTAAGAATCTTAATGAAGCTAATTAAAATGAGAGTAATAAACAGCAACTATTGGAGATGAAATTATAAATGGTTAGCTAAAAGGAGGATTTTGATGTTTTAAAAAGTGATTTTAAAGAATTAAAAAGTGACATGAATTTCATTAAAGAATCCATCTCTTAACTTCTTTAAAAATAAAAGTAGTGATCAATGATAGTAGCTTGCTATTGAAGTTATTTTTATAAAACGCAGATTAATTTAAGCTTAAATTAAACTAAAATTCTCATTATTTAATAAATATCTATGAAACCTAAAAAATTCAATTCATCTCAAAGGGGTTTTGGGGTTTTGGGGTTTTGGGG